GGTATCATTGCCGCCGCCCACGTTGGCCGCCTGCTCCTCTCCGCTGGCCTGGGGAGATACGCCTCAAACTTCCTTTGTGCGAGCTCCACCCTCTCTGCCAGAGCGAACACCTCCTCCAGGCTTGCAACCGCTCCTAGCTCATACACTCTCATCCTCAGCCCCCCACCTAAGGCCTCGTCCAAGCCCCCCAGGAACTTGCTGATGAGAAGACTGCTGTCCGTGCATCTCACGTCCTCCGCCACATTGATCAGCCGGTTATAGTAGGTCAGTAGTGACTCGGTCCGGCCCCTGTTGAATTCCTGGAACTCCCTTATGCGCTGCCGTGTGACCTGGGAATTGCCGCTGCAGCCGCTCCAAGAATGCCTCGGTGGGGTCCTCGCCGTACCTCCCCGCCCTCCACAGCAGTTCCTCCATCCTCATGCGGTAGAGCGTCTCGGCCTCCCCATCCAGTGTGTTCAGCAGGCTCAAGAAGAAGTCCATTGGGTCCATGTGGTGCCGGTCGCAGCGGTACCGCACATTCCGCACCTGCATGAGATAGTTCTTGAGGGTCGGCCCTGCACGTTGGTCGCCTGAGAATCTGGCGGGCACTTCTACTCGCGGGGTGCTGGTGCCACCCCCACGCCCATGATTCACTGGCCCCTTTCGGCCGACTCCTCTCCGTTCCCCTCCCCCGCGCCCTTTGCATGCCTTCTCCTCTGCCGGCCCGGCGAGCGCATTGCGCTGTTGTGCTCCCCCAGCTGCTGGCCGCGCTGCTCCTGCGACCCACGCTCCGCCCTGTGACCCCCTTCCTGGCGCCCCTGGGACCTGGGTGAGCGTGGCTCACCCCTCCGTTCGTCACCGCGCGCCTGGCGACATTCCGGCGAGCGCATGCCGCCGCCGCCCCAGCCACTCTGGTCCTGCAGCCGGTCATGCGGGCGGAACTCGCCCACGCGTCATTCTCGACGGCGCTGACCCTTTTCCGGCGTGCGCGACCGCTCCGCCCTTCCCTCACCGCGTGGTCTGGACGCATCTGCATAGCGAGCGCCCTCGTCCGGTGTCCCTTGGTCCTGCCGCCTGGAGCCCTCCGCGCGGTGTCCTTCCCCGCGGCTGCTGTCTTGACCGCGCGGTCCCTGTAGCGTGGTCCCGAACTCCCCGCCCACCGCCTGACTCATTCCCGCATTTTCTCCCGCCGGCATGGGTTCCGCTTCGCCTGTCCCCTTTGACTGCGCTTCATCTGCATCTTCCACTTCCGCCTCCTCGATCGGCAGCCCTTGGTCCCCCTCCGCTTCTGCCGCGTCCCGCTCCTGAGTCGCCTCCGGCGCTACGTCCTCCTGCGCGGCCCCTTGGCGAGCGTCACTGCGGCCGTCTCCTCCCCGTCCCCGGGGCCGTCCCTCAAATCCCCGCCAACGCCCTCGCTCATCGCGGCGCCGCCCGTGATCCTCCGGCGAGTGAAACGCCCCTGCGTCGCGGTGGCTTCCGCCGCCCACGTCAGTCCTACGAGCGCTCTCGCGTAGCCACTCGTTTCGATCCGTGCCTATGGTCTGCCCGTCCGTACCCGCTCTCACGCCTTCTGCTCCTTCCCCTCGACGATCCCTTTCCGTGGGGACCCGATCCGCGCGGAAAGCCGGTCAGCGTGGCGATCGTTCCCAGGATCGCCCTCGTTCCCGCGATGGTTCGCGTCGTGGCCGCTCTTCCTCGCGTCGACTGTACGCCCTACCCCAGCGCAGTTCATATTTGTCCATAATCGCCTACGCTGAGAGGTCTCTTCACGGCCTTTCTCGTTGTTATGAAAGAGCTACGTCCCTCACCCCGTAGGTTCCCTCTTAGTGGCGTGCTGTAGTGCGCTAGAGCTTGAGACAACAACTTTCACTAGTTCGAGAGAATAACAACGAGAAAGCATCGATGGGTTGGAGGTGAGTGACCTTACCCCACCCCTGGCTGCACATTTCCAAATGTGCGGCTCAGGGTTGGGGTTGATTGGTTTCACATTTCGCCCTTCGGAGTCTTTCCCCCTTTTTATCTCAACCGCTCTTATCCTGTTTCCCCCCTTCTACACCCCCGCTCCTAACAGTAACTTCGCTACATCCTACACCTATTACTTATATTCTTATTCCTATCTAGTCTTCCTATGGTCTTAGTATGAAGCCCACACTATACCATCATTCTACTGTTATTGCATATGCATTAAGTGCATATGCGGTGACAGGTTTAACCGAAAGGTTCGTACAGACTGTTAAGCAGGGGCTGCGAGCATAGGGGGAACAGTTCAAACGAGACTGGGACACACGACTGCTGTGGGTAGTAGCAGGATATCGGTTCAGCAAGCAGGCAGCGCTGAAGGACCTGTCGCCATATTACCTCCTCCTGGGTAGAGAGCCAGTGCTGCCAGTGGACGCACTGAAGATACTGACAGGGTCGGTGAGGGTGGAGAAGGAGGAAGACTGGGTGGGGTTGGCAGAGGCGAGAGCCAGATACCTTAGGGAGTTACTACCCGCAGCACTAGAGAACCTGCACGTGGCTCAGCTGCGAGATGCTCATAGGTACAAAAAGCGAGGAGAGATTCAAGCCGGGAGGAAGGAGAGGGCTCTGGGGGCAGGGGACGAGGTGTACCTGAAGCAGGCCAAGCACGACATGATGGATATCGGTCTGAGCAACGAGCGCTGGAAAGAAAAAGAAGTGAAAGAGTCGGGAGTGGTGGTACTGGTCAGCGATAAGGGGCAGCGGAGGACGGACCGCTATACTAACGTAGCTCGGGCTAGAGCCCGACCAGAGAGACTGCGGAAAGGGCAAGAGATCCAGCGTCAGCCGGCAGGGGCTCTAGGGCAGCCGTGGAGGGGGAAAGTGAGAGGAGTGGCTGGGAACAAGGGGAAGATGAACAGGGAGCTGAGAAGTTTACAAGAGCCAAGGTGAAGGCAGGGAGAGGAGGAGGAGGGAGCAAGACAAGCAAGGGTACTGAAGTGTAAGATTCCGACAGCTGTCACGATTTTAATTTTTGCTTAGGTAAACTAGATATAAACTCGTGACTTCAAAGATAATAGGAGAACACAGTAGAAAGGATACTATTAGATCGGCGAGAGGCCGAAGCGAACAAGTCGAAATTGAGATGTGGTGGGCGAAACGGTTCCAACCAGCAGTAGATACTTAAGCAAGTAGGGAGGGTAGGAGCCGTGCTTGCGTGTTTGTTTTCACACTTAGGCTTAAACTTTCTTACACTACTGTGAGTTACTAAGCGGGAGGAGCCAACCAGCGCAAGCACTCAAACCTGAGTATCCGTTCTGAGATCCATTCAGCCGAGCTAGGGTTTGTGCGTCAGTATTGGCTAGCTGACTGAGATCTTATTACAAACACGCAAGCAGTTATTGCCGATGAATCGTAGAGACCTGCTGCGAACAAGGGGAACAAGGGGCTGAACAAGGGGAAGATGAACAGGGACCTGAGAAGTTTGCAAGAGCTTGGGTGAAGGCAGGGAGAGGAGGAGGAGGAGGGAGCAAGACAAGCAAGGGTACTGAATTGTAAGATTCCGACAATTTGATGTGTACCCTTCTGAGACATTTAGAAACATCAAATCTCCTTTCTCTCCTCCTCTACCTCCTCTTCTCCCCATGACCCCCTTTTTCCACTCCGATCCACCCTCCTCCCCGTCCTCATTTCTCCCCACTCCCTTTCTCCCTCATGCTACATCTCACAATATGTAATGTCTTGAAACTGTCCCAAAAGATTCTTTTCGAATACTTCGGGACAGGTTGAAAAGTGTCTCGAAAGACACTTTCGAGAGTAAGTGAAATGTCCTGAAAGTGTCTCGCCCAACTGACCCGAAAGTGTCTTTCGAGAGACATTCGAGACATATCCAACCAACACATTCAAGGACTGTTCCTAGGACAGATTCGAGACACTCAAGAGACAAATTTTCAAGTTTAAAGCATGTTTGCATTATAAACACTACACTATTACACTGTTCCAAAAAATAGGCTACAGCACATATGCACCCAGCTTCAACTTCCTTCACTATTTGCACCATGCTGTACATTTTTTTTTGGTGGCTTCCAAAATCAGAGATAGTGTATCAATAATAATAAATCCTCAACACGAGACATCACATTGAAGTTTTAATCGGTGAATGCCTCAGTTGATGCCTAAACACATATGATGCAGAAACAAATAGTATGCAACTTATTCATCCAGCAGTCTAGAGAAGACGACGTAGATTGGAATGAAAGTTACAAGGACTCTTCGCCTTAATCTGTACCTGCCAGCTGGCAAATGCAGCAAAAATACATTTAACCATCAGCAGCTTGAAGGGAAATAAACGCTCGAGAAACGCACGGGCGAAGATATTGACATGCCTTTTTTTCAACTTCTGTTGAGGGTATTTTTACGATCAAACAAAAACACTACAAGTAAAAGCAGGATTATAGACCTTTAAGGAACGACAGCGTTAGATAAAACAGAATTGCATGAATTCAAGCGTAGCCAGAATAACACAAATATGCATGACAGAATAAAGGGTACGAAATACCAATCGTCAATTCAAATGATATTTGCCAACCTGATCCACTACCATGGAAAGGAAGGAACATAAGGGAAGAAGATGTACAAATTAGACGCATTAACATTGTAAAGGACGTTAAAGTTGATGGGAGATAAGAGGGTAACTAAGAGATGCTAATCGATATGATGGTTCTGGTGACGATAGAAGAGGTAGAACAAGTGCGCTATGAATTGCAAACAAACAGAAACGCGCGCTATATTGATTCAACTATGAAATCCCGTTGAACACTTCAACGGGAGTCACTAGTCGAGCCAAGTAATTGGCAGACACAGAGACAGAACAACAAAATACAAGGAGAAAGAAATGAGTTGTGACAAAAGCAAAACGCGCTAATCCAACAAAACGATTGAAATTTGAGGGAGGTTTTGGATGGGTTTCACTAGTTTCGCAGTGGTGAACGTGATGGGGTTTTGACATTGAAGTGGTTGGCACAGGTAGTACCTGCCACCCTCTCACAGGCTGCGGCGACGTACTAGAGATCCAGGCACTGCACGCGCAGGCTGTAGGTCCGGGCGGCCCTTTCATCGTCCTTGCCGCCGACCAGACAGCCTTGGCCTTTGCCACCAGCAGGTAGCCCAGCAGGTGCGTCCTGCTGAGAGCACCGAGTTGTTCTGCTGAGAGCACCGAGGTGTCCTGCTGAGACCACCGAGGTGTCCTGCTGAGAGCACCGAGGTGTCCTGCTGAGGGAACCGAGGTGTTCTGCTGAGAGAACCGAGGTGTCTTGCTGAGAGCACCGAGGTGTCCTGCTGAGAGCACCGAGGTGTCCTGCTGAGAGCACCGAGGTGTCCTGCTGAGAGCACCGAGGTGTCCTGCTGAGAGAACCGAGGTGTCCTGCTGAGAGCACCGAGGTGTCCTGCTGAGAGCACCGAGGTGTCCTGCTGAGAGCACCGAGGTGTCCTGCTGAGAGCACCGAGATGTCCTGCTGAGGGAACCGAGGTGTCCTGCTGAGGGAACCGAGGTGTCCTGCTGAGAGCACCGAGGTGTCCTGCTGAGAGCACCGAGGTGTCCTGCTGAGAGCACCGAGGTGTCCTGCTGAGAGCACCGAGGTGTCCTGCTGAGAGCACCGAGGTGTCCTGCTGAGAGAACCGAGGTGTCCTGCTGAGAGCACCGAGGTGTCCTGCTGAGAGCACCGAGGTGTCCTGCTGAGAGCACCGAGGTGTCCTGCTGAGAGCACCGAGGTGTCCTGCTGAGAGCACCGAGGTGTCCTGCTGAGAGCACCGAGGTGTCCTGCTGAGAGCACCGAGGTGTCCTGCTGAGAGCACCGAGGTGTCCTGCTTATCATTTGCGATTCTCCTTGGTGGTACTGTGCCCATGTGCCATGCATGCATTTATAGTCATGAAATAAAGCCTTTTCGCCGAACCCCTTCTTCCCCTACTTTTTTCCCTCGTTTCCCCCCATCCTCCTCTATTTCACTCTATTCTGTTACGATTCATCTCCCTGTCTATTGCCACGCTCTCTCTCCTTTCCTTTATCCCTTCCAAGTTTTACCCCTCCTTCCCGTGCTTCTTAAAGGCACCACCCTTCCCTGTTGAGGCGTCTCACTGGTCACCTTTCTCACCACCCTCCCCCCATTCCTTGCCTTGCACCTGTCACTCCTTGATTGGTGCCTTCATTCCATTCCTTCATAACCTTTTGTTTTGCGCGGTGTGGCAAGTGGCGGCAGTGGAGTGCTTAAGTATGCACACATGTGCATGTAATGTTTCGGTGAGAGGTGGGGATGAGCATGGGAAAAAAGGAGAGAGGGGCGTGGGAGAGGAGCGGGGGAGAGGGAGGTGAGGGAGAGAGTGGAGGGGGGGAAGAGGAGAGGGGGAGAGGAGGGGGGAGAGAGGCGGGAGGGATTAGGGAGGTAGATAAAGATGGGAGAAGAGGGGGAAGAGGAGGGGGGACGTGGGAGGGGGAGGAGAGGCGGGAGCTGGGAACAGGGAGAGCGGTTATGGTTTTCTGGTTGACAGAAGTACATGGGGGTCGTAAGGGCACACAGAGTTAGCGGCCAAAGGCGGATGGGCTGCTACTGGCTAGATGTCACGGGCCGTTCATGAGTGTGATGGGGGAGAGCGTGAAGGGGGGAAGGAAGGTAGGAGAGGAAACGGGCCAGGTGTCAAGATAGCAAGCAGGAATGATTGCATTGAATGAATTGTGGGTACAAGTACTAACCCTAATATTGGGTTGTACCCCACATGGGCTACCCAACCATAGCCTACACACACAACTAGCACAGATATGGTTTGACACACCCCCATAGGCACAGTGGGGGAGAACAAGGGGTCACAAGACCAGTCAAGAAAAGCAAAGCAAGCTCAGGGTGGATCACAACGTCACCACACACTCCGAGCACAAACAAAGGGGCCACAAGGCCTGTTCACATGCATAGGTATATATGCAACAACAACAGTACAGTGATCACCACCTAGCAAGAGTAGATATGCAGGTATATATATATATATAGATCACAGTACAACCAGAGTCTACAGAAAGTGAGGAAACGTAGGCACCAGGCCTAGAGCAGTGCAGAAGCGCTAATGATCACCAGCCGGAAGGGCCTTGGTGAACACATCAGCCGTGTTGGCCCGTGTGGGCACGTGAGCGACACGAAGCTGACCACGCTGCTGCAACTCTCGAACAAGGAAGTAACGCAGAGCGATGTGCTTCGTTCTGTGCTCCAGTCTGTGGTCCTGACACAAGGAAATGGCAGCCTTGTTGTCGACGTACAGAACTGGAGGAGAACTAGGCCTCTCTCCCAAGTCGGTCAGCAGGTAGGTGAGCCAGCGTAGCTCCTGTGCAGCCATGGCTGTGGCGTAGATCTCACCCTCACAACTTGAGCTGAGAACAGAAGACGAGCGTGTAGACCGCCAAGAAACAGAGCCAGAGCCAAGGCTGAACGTGTAACCCTGTGACGACCGCTGCGTAGCCATGTCGTCAACCCAAGAAGCGTCTGAGTGCCCAGTGAGGACAACTGAGCTCCGCCCTCCAAGCACGAGCCCCATGCCCGATGTACTGCACAAGTAGCGCAGTACCCTCTTCGCAGCATCCCAGTGCACCTTTCGGTGCCTACCAGGAGCCACGTAGCGTGCCAGAAGGCCAAGAGGGTACGCGAGGTCAGGACGAGTGCAGGTCATCAGGTACATGAGGCAGCCCACTAGCTCTGGGTAAGGACCACTCGGCTCTACGGACTCGTCCGAAGGTGGAGCTGAGAGTGAGTGACCGGTAGCCAGAGGAGTGGACTGTGGCTAGGACCAAGTGAAGCCGAAACGCTGAAGGACCTGCTGCACCATCGCCCACAGCACCACCAGCTCCGGCAGCTCCAGGACGAGCACCAGCAGCACCAGCGCCTCCAGCAGCTCCAGAACCTCCAGCTCCAGGGCCTCCAGCAGCAGCACCCCCAGAACCGGCACCTCCAGCTCCAGGGTCTCCTACTCCAGGGTCGACAGGACCAGCTCCAGGACCTCCAGCTCCAGTGCCTCCAGCAGCAGCACCCCCAGAACCGGCACCTCCAGCTCCAGGGTCTCCAACTCCAGGGTCGACAACACCAGCTCCAGTGCCGCCAGCATCAGCACCCCCAGAACCGGCACCTCCAGCTCCAGGGTCTCCAGCTCCAGGGTCGACAGCACCAGCTCCAGGTCCCCCAGCTCCAGTGCCTCCAGCACCACGGACCCCGGCAGCTCGATTACCTCCGGTAGGAGCACCTCCAGGACCCTCAGCGCCAGCACCCCCAGCGCCTCCACGACGAGCAGCTCCAGCAGCTCCAACTGCAGCACCTCGAGCAGCAGTACCTCCAGCACCAGCAGCACGACTCCTTAGGCGGGTACACCACGCCAGCCACTCTCGTAGCTGGTGTGGTGAGAGAGGCCCCCGTCGTGAAGTGAGACCCCCAGACCCAGCACCCTCCGGCTCAGCACCCCCAGGCTCCGCACTCGTAGGCCCAGCACCCACAGGCTCCGAACTCGCAGGCTCAGCACCCCCAGGCTCCGCACTCGCAAGCTCAGCACCCCCAGGCTCCGCACCCCCCAGCACCTCACGCACAGGCTCAGCACCCCCAGACGCAGTACCCCGAGCAGCACCACCACCCGCAGCAGCACCTGAGTCGCTAGTGACCTCTACAGGCTCAGCCAAGGGGAGTGGGTCTACTTGAGGGGTCTACCGTAGGGGGACCTGGAGCGAGGAAAAGCGGTGGGGGGGGGAGAGGGGCAGTGCGGTAGGGGAAGAGACGGTAGAAAGGAACCGACTCGTCAAAGGTGACGTCTTGAGAGGGCAGGACACGGCGCGAGGTGGGGTGGTAAAACTGCCAGCCAGGCGCGTCAGGGACAAAGCCAAGGAAGACACAGGGAATGGTGCGGGAGGAGAGCTTGTCTGCAGACGTATCGCGGACAAGGGCACGAGCACACCAAACCCGGAAACGCGACGCATCACCAACCTCCCCCGTCCAACGCAGTGTGGGCGAGGTCTCCGGCAAGGAGACACGGGGCCAGGGGTTGAGCTGCTGCGCGGCGTACCGGACCGCAAACGGCCACGGAAAATGGGGAGCCGCCGCATGGCTCAAGGAGGTACGAGCGACCTCCATGACCAAGCCAATGCGGCGCTCAGCAACCCCATTTTGCTGCGGTGAACCCGGAAGCGTGAAAGACTGCTCGATGCCCTCCCCCTGACAGAAGGCCCGCAAAAGGTCGGAGGAGAACTCACCACCTCTGTCAGAGTGCAGACGCAGGACAGGAAGGTCCTGGCGGTGCGGAGATAACTACTACAACGGGAGCTAGACTACGGGCTAGGCACGGGTGCTCGTGTAATCTCTGCGTTCGTTGGTCCTTCGTCGTTTTCCTAGTGCACACACTGCTTGCTGGTTCACGGGGCAATTTGGCAAGAGTTTCACTAGAGAAAGTTGACAACAATGGTACAATCAGGTTGGCAACACAAGACTACATCAGAGCTAGCATTCAGGTCGGTCGACTGCCAGCGCAGCATGGTCGACCGCGTTCCAGCACGACTTGGTCGACCGCGCTCCAGCAGGGCAAAGTCGACGGCGTGCCAAAGTCGCAGGTTGACGGCGTGCCAGCGTTGCTCCCGCAGAACAGCAGCGCACCTACTTCGCAGGTGCTCGCAGACGATTGACGGGCCGTGCCTCGTCACCTGCACAACGCACACACCAAGTCAACCTGGCACTTACGACCACCCAACTTCGCCTAGGTGACCGTCGCACTCTTCCGCAGAACCTCGTTACCCAGGTAACCTGGTCGACCGGCCAACCACGTCGACCAGTTGCTCCTGTATGTGCCCGTCGACCTCCCAAGTCCACGACCAACCCAAGTCGACCTCACCAGGTCGACCACGCCCCTGGTCGACCAGCTCCAGGTCGACGTCACTCGTGGCCGACCAGCTCCACGTCGACCAGCTCCATGTCGACCAGCGCAGTTGTCAGCCGACAACCCAAGTCGGCTACCCGAAGGCGGCGTCACCAAGTTGACGCCCTGCTACTCGACGCCCAGCTGCTCGGCGTCCTGAGTTGTCGACGTCGGCCCCTCCTCCGTCGACCACCAGGTCAGGTCGACCACCAGGTCGACATCACGCCTGGTCGACCTACCACCAAGTCGACCAGCAGGCCTGTCAGCCGACTCCCCAGGTCGACCTCCCTGAAGTCGGCGCCATCCTGAAGTCGGCGCCCGTGCAGTGGCCCCCGTGCAGGTCGACCTCCTCGTCAACCAGCTCGGCCACTGCTGCAAGTCGGCTGCTCCCCTCACACCCGACCACGACGTTGGCTCCGCCCAAGCGAGGACGGGGCCAACACACAACTCCCGTTGACACTCCCCTGCCGCGTTCACGCTTGGGCCCCCAGCCCACACGGCAGTACTCCTCGGAGAATAGCTCGTCGACGTGCACCCAACACACAGCACGTCGTCCACCGCACCAGCCATGCAAGAGGGCATGGCACCTACTTCTGCACGTTGTCATCTTCGTCGCCCACGTCGGCCAAGCGCACCTGGCCGATGGCGGCGGAGCACCGGTTGAAGGCCGGATAGTGAAGCGCCTTCGTCAGGAAGTCGGCTGGCTGCTCGGTGGTCGGGATGTACCTCAGCGAGAACTTCCCGCGCCTCACCATGTGCTGCAGCCAGGCCTGTCGCCGCTCCATGTGCTTGAGGTTGCCTGTCAACCCCATGCCCTCGGCGACCATGATGGCCGACTTGTTGTCCGCCCGAAGGACGGTCGGCTTCCCAGCATCCAGCTGCTGGAACTCTGCGAGGAGGAAGCGAAGGCGACGTCCCTCCTTGCCGGCTTCCCGTGGCCGCCACGTACTCCAACTCGGTCGACGACAACTCCAGGGCGGTGTCACGCGTGTTGGCGAGGTAGGCAAGGCAGCGGTCGACCTCGCGCCAATGCTGGTCGCTCCTCACCGTGAGGCCACTCCCCAGCTTGCTGCAGGCAAAGGCGACGTCTGGCCTCGTCGTCGTCGCTGCGAACTGCAGCGAGCCGACTTTCTGCTGGTACTCCTCCTCCTGTCGCTCCTGTGCCTCCTCGTCGTCGCAGGTGAGCTCGGCGTAGGCGTCGACCGAGACCGGCGTCTTTGGGGTGCGCCCGGTCTGCTACTCGTCGATGAAACGCCTACGCAGCTTGTCGGCGTAGCCCTGCTGATGCAGCCACAGTTTCCCCGCCGGCCTGTCGCGGACGATTTCCAGCCCGAGGTACTTCTGCACGGGCGAGATCTCGCGCAGCTCGAAGGCGGACTCCAGCAGCTCCTTCAGCTCCTTCAGCATCTCGGTGCTGCTGCTGGCGGCGAGCAGGTCGTCAACGTAGACCAGCACCCAGCAGGCCACTTCGTTGTCACCGACCTTGAAGTACAGAGTCTCGTCGACCTGGCTCTTCTTCCACCCGGCGCCGACCAGCACGTCATTGAGCGCCAAGTACCACAGCAGCGGCGTCTGCTTCAGCCCATACAGGCTCTTCAGCAGCTTGCACACTCGGCCGGTTCCGTCG